CAGAGAAGGCTAACTGTCTCTCAAAACTACAACTCCTAGAATTCCATAGCATTGAGCCGTGGCGGCTAAAGTGACGTCAACCTGGATTATTTCTGCAATGCAGATGCAGCTTCAGACATGCAAAATGTCACGAAGGCCATTGATTCCTTTCCTCCAGGAAGTCAGAGCTTTGGTCTGAGTAGATGCACTTGTTGTGTTGTGATCTTTGGCACGTTGGTTTAAGCGTTAAGTAACTCAGAAGGGAGTTTCTGAAGGCTTCTGTCCAAGTCCAGATGATTTATCTTCACTCCTGGTGGCTTCCATCTGCAAAAGCTTCCTTGACTTTGGACACACATGAAAGGCATCACATTGTTTTCATGTGGAGTGTGCATTGCGAATCCTTTGGGGTCTTAACCAAAGGAGATGGGTGGGTTGTTTTGAATGCTTCTTCTCCCCCAATAATTTGAAACCTTTTGTTCTAATTTTAGGCCAAGATATTGTTTTCAAGTGCCTTGGAGAAAACATTCTCCAGAATGCTTTTGAAGGCTACAATGCCTGTATCTTTGCCTATGGACAGACCGGTAAGCCCTTTTAATGTGGAAATTAAGGAAAATTAAAAGGGGAAAAATGCTTATGGGTTACATGTCATTATGGCTTGTTTGTTTGCATGGTTGGGGGGAAAAACACAATTTTCCAATTTTGTTTAAATCAGTTCTTTTGCATAAATTTTAAATGAAAAAACCAAATCCTGCATATTATATTAATACTTTGGAACATTATTTCATCTATTAGAAAGCTTGAGCAACAATGTTTTAATGCTTTCGAACATTCCCATATTATTAGGCTTTGATATGATTTACACCTTTCAATAAAGCACAGGGTTTTTTACTGCTTATTATTTCTATAAAATCTGAGCATATGTAGACTAAACGTAATAAAACATACAAAGTACTCGCAGAGTTGTTTTGGTTGAACTTAGGCTAATTAAAGAATCTGTTTCTGAAGGGCATTTCTTACTCTATAAAATAAAAGGATTAAAAAGAAGTAACTGACACTGGGTACTGGTCTAACAAGGAACAATTGCCAATAAACTATTAGAAATTAAATGTTTAAATTGAAGCAGTCATTGGCTGCATCCACACTGCAGAAATAATAATAATAATAATAATAATAATAATAATAATAATAATAATAATATCCCGCCCCTTTTGAGGTCAATCGGGGCGGCTAACAGCAACAAAATGTTACATAAGACAAAATCTGATTCCCTCCCCCCTTAAAAAGTTATTAAATCAATTTCAAGTTAAAACAAACAAAATACAGTATAACAATGATATTAAAAACAATTCCAGCAAGCGGCGGTAGTTCTTGATTGTATTTGAAAAGTGTATCCCTAGAAACCGTCTCAAGGGAGGGATTCCTGAGGCCGGGGTTATCTGTCCCAGAAAGGCCTGCTGGAAGAGATCCGTCTTGACAGCCTTTTTAAAGCTGTCCAAAGATGTTAATTGACGGATCTCGTCTGGCAGGCTGTTCCATAGTTTGGGGGCGACAACCGAAAAAGCCCTCTGGGAGGTAGCCGCATGCCTAGCTTTTTGTGGCTGCAGCAAATTCCTCCCAGAGGAAGGAGAGCATGGGGAGGATTGTATGGGAAGAGGCGGTCTCTGAGATAGCTTGGACCCAAGCCATTTAGGGCTTTAAAGGTGATAACCAACACCTTGTACCATGCCTGGAAGCTAATAGGCAGCCAGTGGAGGGACCTCAAAACCGGAGTAATGTGGTCCCTCCTAGATGTTCCCGACACTAATCTGGCTGCCATGTTCTGCACTAGCTGTAGTTTCCGAACCAAGCATGAGGGTAGCCCCATGTAGCGCGCATTGCAGAAATCTAGATGTTAGGTTACCAGCGCGTGTACAACAGTCTCGAGATCCCTTACTTCCAGGAAAGGGCGCAGCTGGCGTATCAGCTGAAGCTGATAACAGGCGCTCCTGACCGTCGCATTTACCTGATTTGTCATCAGGAGCGATGAATCGAGGAGCACCCCCAGACTGCGAACACAGTCACTGGAGGAGAGTGTGACCCCATCCAGGACTGGAGGTTGCAACCCAATTCTTGGTTTCGGGGCCGCTACTGTGAGCACCTCCGTCTTGTCTGGATTCAGTTTCATATAATCCAGTTTGAGACCACTTTAACTGCCATGGCTCAGGGCTATGGAATTCTGGGACTTTAATTTTCTTGTGGCACCAGAGCTCTCTGACAGAGGAGGCTCAGTGACTTAGAAAACTACCCTTCCCAGAATTCCATACCATTGAGTGATGGCAGTTAAAGTGGTGTCAGAATGGATTGTTTCTGCAGTATGGTTGCATTGTTGTTCCAGTAAGAAGATCGGAAAATAATAACAATAGACTTTAAAAATAAACACATGGATAATCAATTAGAAAAACCAGGATGGTTTTTTTTAATAAAAAGTAATTTGATTTAAACCAAGGTTTAACCATGATTTAAACCAAGCTGATTTAACCATGGTTTAAACCAACCTGGCTTAAACCAGCCAACCCTGTTTATTTATCAAATAGCTCATTTTTCTTCCAATGGCTTCCAGTACAAAGTTAAAATGAAACATAGATATGATAGTATATGATACAAAGCATTAAAACCCGTTAAACAAACACTCCGGTCAAAATATTAATTTAAACTAGTTAAAAACACATTTTGTTGTTGCTGTCATTTATCATATTTCCGCAGGCAGGTAAAATACTTTCTTGTTCCTGCAGGCCTTGGAAGACGGCTGAAAGGAAACAAGCCTTGATGTTTTCCTTTTAGTGGTTTATGTTTTCAACATGTTTTAACAAGTTAACAAGTTTCAATTTTTGACACTTTAATTACGTTTAAAACTTTTGTATGTTGTAAATTTTTAGCCATATTTGTTTTAACTATTGTATGCCAATTGGAGTCCCAAATGGAAGAAATGTTAATACTACTACTACTACTATTACAATAATAATAATAATAATAATAAAATCTTTCAGATCAGTTTCCTCTTAGGGCAGGCCTATGAATGAAAGATCTCCAAAAGCCCCACGGTCATTAATTGTCTTGGAAAATTGTAGTTTGGTTTTCCATTTTTATCACTGCCTTTCATTTTACCAAGCATTACCTTTTTTCCAGCGAATCACATTGGCTACATCTGCACTTGCAGAATTAATGCAGTTTGACTCCATTTTAACTTCCGTGGCGATGGAATTCTGGGATTTGTAGGTTTGGGAGACATTTGCCCTTCTCTGTCAGAGAGCTGTGGTGCCACAACAAACTACAAATCACAGTATGGTGCCATGGCAGTTAAAGCAGTTTCAAACTGCATTATTTCTGCAGTGCAGATGCAGCCATTGTCTCCTGATACGTCCAAGCTGTGATGGTCTCAGTTTAGTCATCTTAGCTAAAACACATTAAAGCGTAGTAAAACAAATACAATCCACCCCATTTATTAAATCCTTTTTCTCCAATCAGTTAACAACTGAAGTCCTGTTTAAATAGGAAAGTCTTTGCCTGCTGCTGCTTATTTATTCCTATTAAATCAGAATTTTTACTGGAGGGAGAGGCTGTCATCAGTCTTGCAAAGACGTTCCTTGTTTTTTCCTTATCTTTGAATATTTAGCATCCTTGCATGTTCCAGCCATGTGCGTTTAAATCTTCAAAAATCTGGAGCACACAGCCAGGCGCATTAAAGCAGAACTAATCTGTGCTAAGCGATTGTGAGTCTGCAGCCTTCCTTAAGAGCATGGGGCCATTAGTGGTTCATCTCCACTTAGACCTGCTTTAGCATTTACCTTTAAAAGATACAAAAGCATCAACATTCAAATGGAATTAAATTATCAATAGCATTTAAAAAAATCAATTGAAACATACAATTAAAAATAACAGGAAAAAAGTTAATAAAATAAAATAAAAACAGAATCAGTGTGGTGTAGTGCTTTGAACGTTGGACTACAACTCTGCAGGCTAGGGTTCGAATCCCAGCTCAGCCATGCAAACCCACTGGGTGATCTTGGGCAAGTCACACTCTCTCAGCCTTAGAGGGTGTCAATGGCAAACTCCCTCTGAAGAAATCTTGCCCCCCAAAAAAAAAAACCCCATGATGGGGTTACTATCAATGGGAATTAACTTGAAGGCATACAACTACAACCAACAATTAAACAGAGTACTCTAAGCCTCAAAGGCCTGGTAGTGGTGGTGGTAAATGGTCTTCTCCTGCCAAGAAAAGATAGCAAGGAGGGGACTCTTCTAGCCTCCCTTTGGGCAGCCATTGAGAAGGCCCTGTATCATGTATCCCAAGATTTGTCCCTGTGAAAGCAATAGGACTAAGATCATATACCCCACGATTTGTCCCTGTGAAAGCAGTAGGACTAATCTGCAGAGCAGAAATAATGCCATGACTCCATTCTGTGGTATGCTGGGATTTGTAGTTTGTTTTGACCCCAGAGTTCTCTGACAGAGGAAGCTAAATACAGTGGGCCCTTGGTATCTGCTGGGGTTTGGTTCCAGGACCCCCTGTGGATACCAAAATCTGTGGATGCTCAAGTCCCATTAAATACAATGGCATAGTAAAATGGTATATAATGGGACTTGAGCATCCACGGATTTTGGTATCCATAGGGGGTCTTTGAACCAAACCCCAGTGAATACCAAGGAGTAAAATGGTGTGTTGGTGTGGCACAGTGGCTTGGGCTGAAACTCTGGAGTCCAGGGTTCGATTCCTCACTTGGACATGGAAACCAGCTGGGTGACCTTGGTCAAATCACACTCTCTCAGCCTCAGGGGGAAGGGAATGGCAAACCTCCTCTGAACAAATCTTGCCAAGGAAGCCCCATGATAGAGTCACCTTAGGATCACCATAAATTGGAAACAACTTGAAGTAAAATGGTACCACTTACATAAAATAGCAAAATCAGTGTTTGCTTTCTGAAATGAATATATTTTCAGAATATTTTAAAGCCATGGATAGTTGAATCCATGAATAAAGAATCCATGGATATGGAAGTCTGACTGTATCTCACCAAACTACAAATCCAAGAATTCCATAGCACTGAGCCATGGCATTTAAACCAGTTAGAAACTGCATTATTCCTGCAGTGCAGATTAGACTGAAGAAATAGGATCATTTGGCTTGATTTTGAGTTCCTGCATGGCAGGAGGTTGGACTGGATGGCCCTTGTGGTCTCTTCCAACTATGATTCTGTGATTTATTTGTGGCTTTTTAATTTAATTTTATTATGAAACATAAAAGAACAATAAAAGAAAATAAACACAAATACATAACGATAACATCACTGACAAACAGTAAAAAGAACAAAACAAACCCAAAACAACAACAACAAAAGGAAAAAAGACAGAACAAAAATACATGCATACATAAAATAAAAACTTCCTCCACACTACATAGGTTTATATATTTAACTATACCTATATCTTTGACCTTCTATGTCCAATAAATATTATATCACAGTCTATATCCTAAAATTAGAAATCTCTCGATTTTTCCCTTGATAATAACAACAACATATACCAAAAGAAAAAATGATTTACAACAGGGTACAAATTAAATCAATGCCTTTCTTATATTATAATTACATATTCAATCAAATAAAATAATAAGTTACTCTATTAGAGTAATAGGTTATGCAATATCTATTACCGTTTTCTTAATATATGATTCTGTGATTTATAAAGTTAATTTATAAAGGTGGCTCAGATTTGTCCTTTATCCTATGGATTGCCCTTCCTTCTCACATGTCTCTAACCTAGGATCCCTTCTTATTTTCACAGGGTCCGGAAAATCTTACACAATGATGGGCACAGCTGACCAACCGGGATTAATCCCTCGACTTTGCAGCACCCTCTTTGAAAGAGCCCAGAAAGAGGAGAGCGAAGAGCAGAGTTTCAAAGTGGAGGTGTCCTACATGGAGATTTACAACGAGAAAGTCAGAGATCTGCTGGACCCGAAAGGGTAAGGAAGACAGCGGCAAAAATAATTGAGACTACAAGTAGGCTTGTAAACTAGTTACTTGCAGAGGATAGAGGTCTGTGTCCCCCACCTGCATTCCTCAAAGGGCTAGCAGGGACATGCCTTCTTCCAAAGCAAAACTTGTAGCTTTTGTCTATGGCAGAGGACAGCATTTTAGTGGTTAGGGATGTAATCCGTTGCCTGTTTTGACCTTGCCTGCAGAAACAAATAATTTCCATAGTTATCTCTCCACTGTATATTTCCGCACAGTATTCTAACCCCACTAGTAAATTCTAGTGGTTTGAGTGTTGGACTGTGACTCTGGAGGCCAAGGTTTGATTCCTAGCTCAGCCTTGAAACCTACTGGATGACCTTAGGCAAGTCACTCTCTCTCAGCCTCAGAGGATGGCAGTGGCAAACCCCTTCTAAAGAAACTTGCCAAGAAAACCTCATGATATTCACCTTTGTTGTTGTGTGCCTTCAAGTCGTTTCTGACTTATGGCAACCCTAAGCACCTTAGGTTAATCCTAACTCTAAGGTTTGTTTTAGGATCAGAAACAACTTGAAGGTATACAACAGCAGCAACAACAACAAATAACAAAGTGCTATGGCCAGTTCTGCATAGAAATATATGTTGGGACGGGTGTTCTATGCAGAAACTGTGTTTCTGTGTAAATTCCACCATGTTGCCTGTGTTGTGCAAGACTCTCTTACTTTGTGCAAAACAAAACAAAACCCCAATTCAAGATATGCAAATACACACACAAACTGTGCAGACATCTTATCGCTTTGTTCTTCGTGATGGGGTTTCTTGAGAGTTGGGAAACCCTTTTCTTGTCCAGGAAATAAAAAGCAAGAACAAATAATCTTTCCATCCCTACTTAGTGGCAAAGTGGACAGCTTTGCATGCAGGTAAAAGGTCCTAGGCCCTTTTCACACTACATAGTTAGAGCACTATGATTCCACTTTAACAGCCATGGTTCCATCCTGTGAAATCTTGGGATTGGCAATGTAGGGAGAGGTATTTAGAATCCACTACTGTAGCACTCTAGTGGAGTGATCCTCAAATTCTGGTCTTCCAAGTATTTTGGACTTCAGCGTCCAGAAGCCTCAGCTATCTTGGCCATTGATCTGGGATTCTGGGAGCTGAAGTCCAAAACAGCTGGAAGGCCAGAGTTTGGGAACACTCTAATGTGTCACCAAACCACAAACCCCACAATGTTCAGGGTGGAACCACTGTATTTAAAACAGAATCTTTGTGCTATACTTGTGTAATGTGAAAGGGAACCCTGCAGACTTTCTGCTAGTATTAGTTTGGAATAGTAGTATGCAGAGGGACCTTGTAGCACCCTTGAGACTGTGTAAAAGAACTTGTAGCATTAGCTTTCATAGGCTTGGTCTACAAAAGTTCATGCTACAACTTCTTTTGCACAGTTACTCTCAAAGGTGCTATGAGATCCCTTTGCATTCTGCTAGTCAGTTTGTCATCAGTACTCAGCTCGATGGCCAAATGGCCTGACTTCTCCCCCCCCCCCATCCTTCTACATAGAACTATAATTTAATATGGGTGATTAAATCTAGGAAGCTACCTTAGGCTGAGTCAGATTCCCTGGTCCATCTTGCCCTGTTTTGCCAGCAATGACTAGCAGTCAGAAGTTCTCCAAGGTTTCAGGCAGGATTCCTTGCTAGCCTTGCCTTGAGATCTCTGGTTTCCCCTCTGGTTCTTCAAATATAAACAGGCCCAAACTTGCTAAACTTCTGAAATTATTGTGATCATTATAAGATCATTATGTTCGGGTGCCATGGTGTTAAGACCCACAATTGTAATCTAAGGAAGGTTACCAGCTGACCCAGGAGGTTCTCAGATTAATACTGAGGTTTCACTACTGGGGAAGAGGTAGAGCTGGAACACATTACTTTCTTGGACTAGAACTCCCAGGATCCTTCCAGCCAGCTCTGGGAGTTGCAGTCAAAGAAAATAAAATTTCCAGGATCTGAGAAGAAAGAGTTAATATCCATGCCATCTTCTTGTGATAGTTGCCTTGTGAATGAGGTGGGGGAGCATATGCAGGTATTTATTTATTTGATTAATATACTGTGTTTCTCCCAAATGGGACTCAAGGCTTTTTTACAAGATAACTGTGTTTACTTTGACTGGCTTGTAAGTGTTAAGTCAGGAAAGACTTAGGAAACCCAGAGAGTCCAGAAGTGGGACTCAAAGCAGTATACAAAAATGATTGACCCAGGGCAAAAGTGTTTTTGTAATTTAGAGTATTTGTTTTTCACTTTCTGGGACCAACATGACTGCTGTCTTGCATGAACTTGAAAACATAAATGTCAATAGCACTCCATGTATATTTCACAGTTAATATGCCAAAGGTTTTCTAGTCTTTGTCTCTTTCCTCTTGTGTCTCTCTTCCCCTCCATATTGAATGACTTTATTTTTGTTGCTGTACATCCATGTACCATGACTTGTTTTGGACAAGCTGGGTGCAGAAACTGGTTGCAAAAATCTGCCTTGACTTGGCACCTGCTAACCAAAGTTAAGTGCTTTTGATTCCAAAAAGATTTAGCATGTGCTACCAGATGCTAGGATGACTTAAAAATGCTCGGCTTTATTACTGCTTGTCCAGTGTGCATAAAGGAAATCATGGCATCTTCTGTGTTTGCTTCCTAAAAACCAGGAGCCGCCAGTCCTTAAAAGTCAGAGAGCACAGCGTCTATGGACCTTACGTAGATGGGCTTTCGAAATTGGCTGTTGCCAGCTACAAGGTAAAGAAGTCAATTACATTCATCTCTTTCTGTTTATGGTTACCAAGATCTTCATCATTAATTATTTATTTGCATGATTGGGGAACTGGGACAAAACTAACAAAATGAATTTCCACAGGGGTAAATGCAAGGTAATACATCTAGGCAGGAAAAAGATATCCACAAACACAGGACGGATAACACCTGGCTTGAAAGGGTACATGTGGAAAGAATCTAGGGATCTAATAAGACAAGCTTAACATGAGTTAACTGTGTGATACAGCAGCCAAAAAAGCTAAAGCATCAAAATAGCATCCAAGTCAAGGGAGGTATTAGTGCCACTTTATTCTACTTTGGTCAGAGGAATACTATGTCCAGGTCTGGGCACCACAGTTCAAGGAGGATATCTTCAAGATGGAATGCATCCAGAGAAGGGTGACCAAGATGATCAAAGGTCTGAAAGGCAAGCCTTATAAGCAAAGATTTAGGGCAGGGGTAGGCAACCTGTCCCCTTTAAGGGCCGAGGGACTTCAGCTCCCAGAATCCCAGGAGCTATTGGCCAACATGGGACTATTGCCAACATGGCTGAGGCTTCTGGGAGCTGAAGTCCCTTGGCCCTTAAAGGGGAAAGGTTGCCTACCCCTGATTTAGGGAATGGCTTAGCTGGGCAAAGATAAGATTGAGAGGTGACATGATAGCTGTCTTTAAACATCTGAAGCAGTGTTACGTAGAAGATGGAGCAAGCTTGTTTGCTGCTGCTCTAAAGGCTAGAGCACAAACCAGTGGATTCAAATTACAAAAAAAACGGATTCCACCGAAATATTAAGAACTTCTTAGAATCATAGAATCATAGAGTTGGAAGAGACCACAAGGGCCATCCAGTCCAACCCCCTGCCATGCAGGAACTCCCAATCAAAGCATCCCCGACAGATGGCCATCCAGCAAAATCTTGCAAAATAGATTGCAAAATCTATTTGACAGTGGAATCGACTGCCTTGGAAGGTGGTGGACTCTTCTTCTTGGGTCTTCAAAGAGAGGATGGATGGACACTTTTCTGGAATAGTGCAATTGTGTCTTCCTGCATGGTAGGAGATTGGACCGCATGGCCCTTGTGGCTCCTTCCGACTCCAAAGTTCTATCATTCTGTGCCATTTTGTGGGCTGAGCAGCAAATGAAGTTTCACAATTGTCCCCTGTAGAAGGTGCAATTGGCTGCTAGGGGCCAAGAATTTGGAGGAAGATGTGGAGGCCTGTGTCCCTCTGTGGCCTTGGGGGTAATGCAGGAACACACAATTACAGCATTTCTGAAAAATGTCCCTCCAAACTCTGTTTGAAGACCTCCAAAGAAGGAGAGTCCACTGCTTTCCAAGGCAGTCCATTCCACTGGCAAATAGATTTTGCAGTCAAGACGTTCTTCCTAATGTTTAGGTGGAGTCCCTTGTTTGTAATTTGAATGCGTTGGTTTGTGTTCTAACCTCTGGAGCAGCCAAAAAGATGCTTGTTCTGTCTTTACATTACATTGCTTCAGATTTTTAAGGACAGCTTTCATGTCACCTCTCAAACCTCTCTTCGTCAAGCTATGTTCCATTGTGTTGGAATTCCACATTAGATGCTGTGGGACCTGGCATTGAAGTACTCTGCATTTCCTCCATGAACCAATCTCTGGGAAGTTCATACCCTTAGATTATGTTTACTGATCTGTGGCTAATAAGGCTTGCACAACCTGTTTGTGCCCGGTTGCATGTGCCCCTTATCCCCCACCTTCAGTATTCAAGCCCTGCAGCGTTTAAGGGTAGGATATGCTATAGAAGTGGCATATCAGCACCTTGAAGAACTGCTCCATTTTCTCTCTTTGGGGAGGGGCGAATCGTGCAAAACTGGTTTAGCAAGGAATCATATGAAGTCTGTTTGCAGAAACATTAGGAATATAGCCTGAAGTGACTAAGAAAGAGAATTAGCATTGAAACAAGGTGGCTGGGCTCCCTGGTTGCATTTCCATTCATCAGAAGGAATGTAGGAAGCGGTCTTATGCTGAAACTATATCCAGGGGTAGCAATGTTGGCCATATAGCAATAAGAATAACATCCAGAATCCACAAAACAGTGATACTTTTATTAGGCCAACCAAAAATGCACATTATGACTACGTCATCAGCTTTTTTGAGTTCTGCATGAATTTTAACACCGTTTGTCTGATGAAGAAGCTTGCAACATGTATTTTATGTATTTTGGTTGATCCAATAAAAATGTCATTGTTTTGTGGAATTTGGATGTCATCGTACTATGCTAAAACCGGCATAAATCAGGGCTTGAGTTATGTCTTGGAGGTACTGCCCTTCCCGCCCTTAGCATTCACAGATTGAAAAAGTTAATTTTTTGGACTGTAGAGCCTAGAATTAGCCAGCCAGCATCACTTTAAGAACAGCAGCTCTGGAGGCCAGAATATTGTTGGTTAATTCCAACTAGAGTAAACCCATTGAATCAATTTGTGAATTCTGAGTCAGCATGTAGGTAAATCTAATCGATTCAGTGGATCTGCTGTAGTCAAGAGTAACAACAGGATTTAGATCAGACTCACCCAGCCAACATGGTCAGTTCAATTTTGGGAGCTGAAGTTCAAAATGGATGAGAGCCAGTGTGGCATAGTGGTTTGACCATTAGACTGTGATTCTGGAAACCAGGGTTCGATTCCCCACTCAGCTATGAAACCCACTGGGTGACTTTGGGCAAGTCACATGCTCTCAGCCTCAGGGGAAGGCAATGGCAAACCTCCTCTGAACAAATCTTGCCAAGAAAACCCCATGATATGTTGGAAATTACTTGAAGGCATACAACAACAACAGCAATTCAAAATGGAAATCAAGGTTCAATTCCCAGGTTAGCCATGAAACTCACTGGGTTACTTTGGGCAAGTCACATACTTTCAGCCTCAGGGGAAGGCAATGGCAAACCTTCTCTGAACAAATCCTGCCAAGAAAACCTCATAATAGGGCTGCCGTAGGGTCACCATGAGTCAGAAATGACTTGAAGGCATACAACAACAAACAAAAGTTCAAAATAGTAGGATTTCCGGGTCCTGGTCTAATTGTTTAGTTTAATGGACAGTTGTGCCAATTCATTGGCATGTGTCTTTCACAACTTTTAGAGGAATAATGATGAAATCTTTGTCATTTGGACATTCGAATAAGAGAAGTACCCGGTTCCCTGCTTTTCCATTAAGTGTATCAGGAAGTCAAGACAATTCCTACCTTTCAGATGACAGTTTCCTTCCATGGCTTCAGAGAATTCTATGTCACATTTCTTTCCCCCCATGTAATGTGCTCAAGACACTCTCTGAGGACTACTGGACTATATAAAGAGCATTGAGCTAGTGTTGTGTATCATAACTGATTTAATGAGCCATTTGCAGTTTCACTGTAATGCCTGTGTGTACTTACATGCATTGCTTAATCTTTGAGACATCTTTATTAATGACTTGGATGAAAGAATAGGGGGCATGCTTCTCAAATTTGCAGATGACACCAAATTAGGAGGAATAGCTAATACCCCAGAGGAGAGGATCAAAATTCGAAATGACCTTAATAGATTAGAAAGCCAAAGCTAACAAAAGGAATTTCAACACGGAGAAGTGTGAGATACTGCACTTGGGGCAGAAAAATGAAATCCATAAATATAAGATGGGGGACACCTGACTGAATGAGACTTATATGTGTGAAAGGGATCTAGGAGTCCAGGTAGACCACA